AGGTGGGGAAAAAAGATGAGATCCGTATTCTAAAATTCCATTCAAAATGGTTAGAGATGGAGAAGAGATGATCTAATACCATTTTTAATCTTCCATTAATATACGGTGGGAATTAGGTTTTCTAAAATTTCAAATTAGGCTCTAAACAATCAAATTAGAGCCTATTTTTAATAGTGTCAACTCTCAAGAAATGTGATTTCAATAATTGAAATCCTTTTAATAGCCTTAAAATATATTTTTATTTTTTTTTATAAAATTTAAATCTTCAAAAATAGTTTAGATTGAGTGATCGATAGATTTATGAAAACTTGAAAATTTTGAAAATTGACGGTCAAAAAATGCATTACAAAATACATTAGTTTCAAAACTTAAAATCCATTTTTTCTCATGTCCATACATCTTGATGACGAGATGATCAATTTGAGGATATTGGGAAAATCAAAACAACCTCTTCTTGTGAAATTTTTGAGGTAGGCTGTAATTTGATTGTTTAAAGCCTCCGTTCTACATATTTTTTTCCTTATATACAAATTATATATATATATATATCTCTTCAGATCTGAATAGGATCAAAATTTAGATTTTGGATCCTGGTCGGACAAATTCTCAACCCTACATAAACGATCCCGTCCTTAGGAACGCAGTGTCATTAGTTATTTTTAATAATAGGATGAAGGAGGAGATATGAAGGATACAAGATAGCGGGTGTGTGCTCTAAATTTCTTTCCTTTCCATCTCTCTTTCACTATCCTCACGTCTTTGGCCTTTCCTTTATTTTATTTGTTTGGCCTTTATTTTATTTGTTTTGAGTCCAAGAGCCATCACGTTAACTAATAAATTGAGCCCGATACAAAAAAAGTGAGGTTATACGTTCACTCATGCAATTCGATGCAAAGCACGCCCAAACAAAATTGATAAAATTGAGCTCCACATAAAGCTTAGAGTGGTCATGGGAAAGGAAAATAAAATATTTATAAAAATAAAAGTAGAAAGAAAATTTAACCCGCTACTCTAGAAGAAGAAAATATCAAGTTAAAACAAGCAAAAGAAAATTTATAAAAAAAATTGAGAGCAATGAAGCAAATGAGGGAGTTCCTTGAATTAAAAAAATGGAAAAAATGAGAAAAAAAATACTTTTATCCTTAGATTTATGAAAATTCATTACAATAAAAATTGAATGAAAATAAATAAGTAATATAATAAATTTATTTCCAGGAAAATAAAAAATAAAAAATGAATAGGCAAGATCCCATATTTTTATGAGCATCTAACCTCAAGAACCCTAAAGAATCAGATTGCTTCTTTTTAATGAAATAAAAAGATTTGTGAAGAAAAAATGAGCTAGAGAGATCCATTTTATTTCAACGAGTTGCATTTTAAACTATATATTCACTATGAAATGGGTGTAGTAGTCAATAAACACACAGGCATAGGTTCTCAATATTCACATATTTTCGATAAAATAATAAAAATCTACAATGCAAATTTTTTTTATTTTTTAAGGCTAGATCTAGTCGCTCCAGCCGATTCACCAATCTAGACTGTCGATCGGCGGATCCAAACCAGTTTTCCAATGCGCGATCCGCGTCACTCATCCATTTTTTAGAACATTGATTATAAGTACTTCTGATTTTCTTGTACCAAAGGTAAATGATCTAATTGTATACACTCCCATAAAAAAAACTTTATGAATAGAATTATTTAACATTTCATTATTATTTTTTAAAAATGTTCATTCAAAATCTCGTCAAGGGATACGTAAAATAAGTGATATTTTTAGTGTGCTTTTGGTAAACTAAGAAATTGTTTGATAATGGATATTTGAGATGTGTTTTGATGGAAGAAAGTATACAAAAAGACCATTTACTCCTAATACAAGTAGGCCACATCCACTCGTTCCTATCAGATTTCAAATCAAACAATTGTTAGTGTGTTATCGATTAAACTCAAAGTTCAAAAAAAATACTCAAACTTTATATCATACCCCAAACCATCCAATTTGACATCTAATGGCTAGTAGCATTTGTGACCTTGCAATAAAGTTAAACGATCTCTTAGTGACTTTAATCTAGAAAGCCAA